TGTTAAGTGAAAGAAACCATACTCAGAAGAGTACACAATATATGGTTCCATTTATATGAAGCTTAAGAATAGGTAAAACTGATCTATGATGATAGAAATCAGGCAGAGGTTGCTAAGGGGTGGGAACTTTCTGGGAGGTGATAACACATATATGCATTATCAAAACTCATCAGGTTGTACACTTAAGATTGGTGCATTTCATTGTATGTAAATTTTTCCTCAATTAAAAAAAAGACATTTACAGCAATATTATTAATGATTAAAATTGGAAGCAACTTAAATATCTTGTAGCAGGAGTTTAGTTAATAAAGTGTACCCAAATTCCACAGCCACTAAAAATGATACTAGAGAAAGCTATCAGTTGACCAGGAGAAATGTTCATGGCAACTTATGTGAAAAGGAAAGTTATTCCACAACTCGTAAGCACAGAAGGTCTGGAGGCCCTTCACCAAAGTGAGAGTCGAGGGCACCTCAAGAGGTGTAATTCCGGGTACTGTCACTGTTTCTACACTGAATATGTACTTGTTTTTGTAATAAGAAAAAATTATTTCCAGGTATAGACATATAGTTATAGCCATAGATACATAGACACAGCTAATTCTCGTTCTTCACGGCAGTTCTGTTCTATGAAGTCACCGGGAACGCTGAAGGAGCGAATACCGAGCCATTGCTCCCGGGAGAAATACAGGGTTAGGCTGCTGCGAGCGTCTGGTCACAACATTTTTGTCAGCCGATCAGTTTGTAACCTTGTTTTACGTGTGCTCCGTTTAAAGACACCTTGTTGATGCATTGACGTGGAACTCACAGCCAACAGCACTATAACCAACGCCCAAACGAAGCTGATTTAACACACGTATTTTCTCCGTAAGACACATCACAGCCTTTTCACACTTGAGAACGCTAGACAGCACTACGCTTGGGGACATTCTAAACAATGAGATCACAAAAAAGCACAATAATGCGAAAAACATGGCACTAAACAGACCGTGAAAAGGACACTTGTTTGCAGTCTGAGAGCTGAAAGCAGGAAGCAAAGCAAGGCCCTGTTTGACCTCAGCTGGGAATGTGTGTGTTGGGCAACTCAAATTTTTTGCTGCTCTGCACATTTCTGTGAATGACCACGAAAGTGTCACAAGCATTGATTTGGGGGTTACAAATAAATTTTAGCAAATAGGCGAATTCACAAATACAGAATCCTCAAATAATTAGCGTTGACTGTATACAGACATATCTACAAAGGAAGGCACCCCCCCAAGCCTTCAGCCTGCACTCCTGGGCGTCCAGGGAGGGAGGAAGGAGGGGGGCGATGGGACGGAGGCCCTGAGGAGACACAGCAGGGGGGAAGCAGGCCCTGAGAGAGGCCACGGGGGAGGCGGGAGCCACCTGCCCCTAGGCAGTCACAGCCCCAAGTCACAAGACAGAGAGGTCTGAACACTTGGAAGGAAGACCAGACGCAGCCAACGAAAAAGCGCTTCCCCTGGGGGACCTCACCTGAACCACAGCAAACCCACTGAGGAGAGCAGCCCCGCCCTGCAGCCTTTCCGGAGAGGCCGCCATGGGAACCGAGTGGGGACCGTCTCAGGAATGTGCCTGCAGTCACAGACACCGCCTTGATTTCGCCTTCTGTCTTGACCGGCATATCCGGGAATGTACAGTCTTTACGAGGGCTCTCAGGAGCCAGTGCCAGACTCAGCCGGGCCCTCACTCTCACCGTGGGAGGGGGCCACTCGACCCTGAGGCTCTCCGAAAGAGGCAGCCTCATCCACCGCCCTGAGGGGGAGAGCACTGATCCAGGTGGGCGAGTCTGGAAGGTTCCCCCACCAGGGAGCGGCTGGCAGAGGCTCTGAGGCTGAGAGTGTCTCCAGAGGTGCCGGCGACTCTTAATAACTAGCCTGGGGAGCCCAGATGCTTCTAGCAAGTGTATTGATCATCGATATCGATGAAGTTTATCAGATAAGAGCTCTCTTCTGGAGGTGAGGTGCCAGGCTTTCAAGGGTGGCACCTTTGGGGGCATTTGACCAGCTCATAGTCACCCCATCTTTTCTCTTGAGAAGGGCAGTCCCACAGCCTTGCTTGAACCTACGCCTGCAGTGATGGGCAGAACCTCCCGGACAGCAGGGCTCGCCCCCATGGTCCCCCGGCCTGCTGCACTTGGTCCACTGGCTCTGCGAGAAGAATCATCCACACCCTGGAAATAGGGCCAAAAGGTGATGGCCTAACCTTTTGATGCCATGCTAGAGCACTCTCTACTGGGCCCGCTAAGTGCCGCTAAGTTGATGCCCCGGGAAAATGGCACTTTATTTACTGTTGACTACGCATGACAGCCCAGGTTCTGAAAAGCTGGACGGCAACTTGTACAAAACGTAATGATTTCTGCTCAGCAGAGAGGAGAACCTGAAGGTTTTGTTTTTATCATCTTGTAGGACCTAACTTAGTGACCTCACTTTACCTTCTTATTTCATATACATATGAAATGTATTTATGTCATGTATTTTCATATAGTTCATATACATGAAATATATTTCACATTATATATGTACATATTCACATTATGTATATAATATATGTGATATATATATATATATATATATATAGGTAAAAGATTAACTTTACCCACAAAGAGGTTTGGCGCTTGCTCTTGGCTCCCGGAGCCCTGGGCCACCCAGACAGTCTACACTGACAATGTGACGTATAAGGGCATCCTCGGGCTACGCAGGGCCAACTCTACCACCCGAGGGCTAGAAGCAGCTCAGCCACGCACACCCACCACATACACACCAGCTAGTCCCACTAAGAACTCTGGTCTGGGGGCTTCCGTGGTGGGCAATTCTCCGTGCAGATTGTCACGTGTCGTTGCTGGAGACGTTAAGCACCATCCACACCTCCACTGGGAGGGGACCACCGGGAGCTCTGAGTGCGGACCCCTCCTGGATTCCGCCCATGCGTCTCTGCCCTTGGCTGACTTGAATCTGTATCCTTTCACCGTAATGCACCATCAGTGTGGGCATGGCAGCTTTCGAGTTCCATGAGTTCCTCTAGTGAATTATCAGACCAGGGTGGTCTTGGGGCCCCCCAGTCTGCATATATATCAGTTTTTGTAATCCTCTTTTGAATCAGCTTTGCCATTCTGCTGCTCCCCTCATTAAACGAGTTCAATAAAACACATGCTCACCAGCTCCTTGTGGGAGAATCAGGACTTAAACATTTTGAGATTTCTACTTCATTTAGGAGTTCATTCGTTGCCTTAGTGAGGAGAATATAAAGAGAGATGAAACATATATATGCTCAAGCACTTCAGTGGCTTCCAGCAGAAAGGGGAAGGGGCGCCACTTGGGCCAGGCCCAGTTACCCTTAGAAGAACCAGACAGCCCCGTAGGGTGGCGACGGGCAGTTGAGAGGCAGACGTGAAAACACACGATTATAGTCGGCTGAGGCGATGATGGGGTGCGGGAGGGCTCAGCAGCTCTGTGAGCTGAGAGAAGGGCCGGAAAGCCTTCTTAATGCCGAGGGAAGGCTTCTAACGATGAAGCCTTGACGGTAAGCTGCTACTTCATTGGGTGGAGCCAACGTTGCTGATTTTATTGATCACTGAAAAGCACTCAGTCGGTTGCTCAACGGTACATGAATCAACTCCCTAGAGTTCCGTCTCCCCAGCCCCCCACAGAGTCTAGCCGGCAGGGCTGCTCTGTTCTGTGGAGGGACCGGTGTCTCTCCCCATGGCTGTGGCACAGACAGGAAAGGCAGGTCCACATCCTGGCTTTGAGGGCCTCAGACCTCAGTGAGGGACCTGGTGCAACCTGTGGTCATTCAACACAGAAAGTACGGGGTCCTGCCCCCAACACCTCCACCGGGGGAGCCAGGCCTCTCCTCACCCCCACCCCTGACCTCCCCCCTGCTCTTCCCCGAGCAAAGGCCCTGTGGCCCATGTGTGGCCCAGCCCCGGAGGCCACCCATTTCCCCTCCCACGATCGGCACCTCGTAAATCAGGAAGGGCACCACCATCGGACCCTTTTACATCCCAACCCAGTCCTTCGGCTCTGCTTTGGGCCACTGGCCCACTGAAGCATCGTCACCATCATTAGTATTACTGCTATTTCTGTTGTTATGTTATTATTTGTAACCCAAAGTGTTTTAGGCAGTTTACAATAAAAGCACATACCTAACTTATATTACAACTTATTATAACTTTATTATAACCTAACATATATATATGTATATGTGTACATATATATGACAAAAATGAGTAAGTTAGGTAACAAAAAAAGATGAGAGAGAATGATTTTGTCAGAAAGTCAGAGCTGAGAAGAGCTACTGCTTCCAAATATAAAACTGACCCCTGAGCCTCTGGACGGACTAGCTATTCTGGGGAACAAGGTGGGCTGCAAACCTGTTCGTCAGGCAGGCCCCGCCTCCCCTGGCCCTGAGGGACTCCCACCTGAGCGCTGCTGTCTGGCCCCGTCGGGCTCCAGAGCCAGGCTAAGCCCAGCCCCGACCTCCCGCCCTCCCTCTGGACACCAGCTGGGCAGAGGGCAGGGGCAGCGGGGCCAGGCCTTCCTCCTGCAGCCTCCCCCAGGTCTGTCTGCCTCGTTCGTTCTACAGCAGACTTCAAGGCTGGTGGGCCCTGGTCCGCATCTGCTCAGACCCCTGATACCCAGCTCTGTCTGCCCCACTTCCAGGTGAGGGGGAGCCAGAGTGGAAGAAATAGGCCGTAAGTTGAACCTGCTCCCCCAGGCCAGGGCTCACGATTGTCCTCCATCCCCCACCCAAGCAACTCACACAGGACCCCACCTCAGTGCCCACGGGCAGGGTGGCAGCCTCACCCCTGTCTGGCCGGTCCAGAGCATTTGATTCAGAGGTGCTTGGGCAAAGGAAGGAAGGAACGTGGAGGAACGGAGGCCTGACTGCAGGAGGAGGGCAGACAAGGAAGGAGCACCCAGAGACTCTGCAGCCCAACCGGGCCAGCGCTCGGCCCCCCGCCCCCTATCCCCCAGCAGACTCACCCTCATCGCAGTTGCTCCCGGTAAAGCCAGGGCAGCACCTCCACTCCAGCGCTGTCACTGTGCGGTAGGACACTCTGTATGTGGGTCTGATCAGGGTCCTGTAACTAACACAAGGGCAGCGTCAGGACAGTGTGAGTGCCCGCCTGCCCACCCCCGACTCCACCCCTGCAGAGACGGCCCAAGCAGGGCTCTGGGAGCCACCCGGGCAGTGGAGCCCCTTGCCCCAGCTCTGTGCCCACTGGCTGTGTGGCCCTGGGCAAGTGACCACTCATCTCTGTGCCAGGTGAATTCTGAAGTCCCTTCCAGCTCTGCCTCTGTGCAAGTGTCCAAGCATGGCCACCTATGCTGGGGAAATGTCCTGCACACTGACTGCTATGGACTGAATTGTGTCCCCCAGAATTCATATGTTGAAGCCTACCCCCAGCCAGTGTGACTCTTTGGACATAGGGTCTTTAGGAGTTAATTAAGGTTAAATGAGGTCATAAGGGTGGGGTTCTAATCCAATAAGACTGCTGGCCTTATAAGAAGAGGAAGAGAGAGATGTCACTCACACGCACGCATTGAGGGAAGGCCATGTGAGGACACAGTGAGAAGGTGGCCATCCGAGGAAATAAATGTCTGTTGTCTAAGCCCCCCAGTCTGTGATATTTTGTTATGGCAGCCCGAGCTGACTGAGACATTGACCAAGATAATGAATGAGTAAAAGAAAAGTCTCATTAGAGCCTGCACAACTTCCAACCACCCGAAAGTCACTGGACTCCAGCCTTCTTCCCAATCCCTTATTTCTTTTTGTTGACTCATCCAGCAAATACTTATTGAGCGCCAACTACATGCTATACTGTACTGTGGTCACAGATTGATAAAACTGAGTCCTCATCCTCGAGAAAATCACAGTCTGGTGGCCGAGAGAGACACTTCAACGGAAACTTGCAACCCAGCAGTGGGACCCTCGCTGCACTAAAAAGCTCTTGCAAACCGCTGTGGATTGCATGATAAAATTTCATGCTCCCACAGTTTTGAAATTTTTCTTACAAATACGTTTTTACTATTTTGTGAAACTCCAAAAATAGTGAATATAAAATACACGACCAAAATTCACAAGAGGGATAAATTCAGCTTTTATTCTTCGCTTTACAGGCATCATTATAACTTTGCCACTTGATCAAGTTGGCACAACTCCCTCTTGAAAACAAAACTGTGTGACTTCACAAAATCTGAATCTGCTGACACTGAGCAACTTAATCTGTGAATGGAAAAATCATGAATTAATTGGTAGCAGCAGGCGTGACGTTTTGAGATGCAATGTTGACAGGAAAACATACGAGTCACGTCTTGAATTTCAGACAGACTGCGCTAAATCTGAAAAATCCTGTTATACTAATTTCCCTTTTTCAAAAAAATCTTCTCACTCATGTTTCATAAATGTTCTGGCAAACCAGCTTCCTCCTGGAGATCTAAGGGGGGTATGGCTGTGTGCCACCAGGGGCTGGAACCTTTGAGTGAGGAGCCAGAAGTCCGCACGGAGAGGTTCCCACAGCTGGGAGCTGGAGAGCGAACCCAGGCCTTTGGACTCTCACATCCCCCCAGGAAGCCCCTGATGTAGGCCTAGGGGGGGTAGGGAGGTGGCAGAGGAGCAGTGTCACCACCACCACTCTTACAGCAAGTGGCCTGGTGGGACACAGGTTGGTTGACGAGCCTGGGTCCAAGGAGTACAAAGAGAGTGCATAATAAACACACACACACACTCATACACATGCACACTCACACATGCTCACACACTCAACTGAAGCAGGTCCAGCTGGGAGAGGGGAGAAGCTTTAATTTAGATAAAAGATGCCAGTTTTAAAACTAATTCCTGAAATAAGATTGTTGCTCCAGCTGAGAGAGACCAGGAAAGGTTTGGAATCCAGCCGGGGCAACATGAGGGCAGGAAAGAGCTAAGCCGTTTGTTGCTTGAGTCTGCATCTGATGCCAGACATGGTCCCTCCTATGACCTCAGCACCCTGGGGCGGATGGAGCCCTGGGCTGCGGGGCTCTGTCCCTAACTCTCGATGTGGACTTGCAAAGGTTACTTAACCTCCCTGAGCCCATGTCCTGGTCTGCACACTGAGGACACCGTGCAGACGGGATGCTGCTGTGAGGCTCGCTGGGAGGGCACGTGTGCGAGGCGCCGAGAGCAGAGAGGGGTGTGCAGATGTTGGGTTTGCAAAACGCAGATCTGACCTCATTCCTCCCGGCCTGCACCCTTTGGCCGTCCCCGCTGTGGTCAGGAGAGACTCTGCTTAGCCACGTGTGCTGGCGCTTCTCCAGCTGACACGGACCCCTGTGCCACAGGCCACCCCTCAGCCTCCAGCCCATGAGCCCTCCAAATGCCCCGGTCATTCTGCAGTCCACAGCTTGAATAACGGTGATAATAAAAGTACTAATAGATATAAGCAAAGCTTTGACTGTGTGCTCAGCACATGCCAGGCACTGTTCTGAGTGTTTCATGTTTGCTGATGCATAACAACTCTAACAGGTGGATACTATTACTATTCCTAATTTACAGATGAGAAAACTGAGGCACAGAGAGGTTAAGTAACTTTCTCAAGGTCACACTGCTAGAAGGTGATGAAACTAGGATCCACCACCCAGAATTGGCAGAGCCTAGTAATACTAGTTTGTGTCTGATGGGTGCAGGGGAACGTTTTTCCTCCCTACATCTGCTCAAGGTGCTGATCTCAGGCCCCTGAACCAGAGGGAGAGCTTGTCCCCCAGAGAAGGGCTCTTTCTGCCCCTCCTCTGAGGGCCTGCCCCAGTCTGGGACCAGAAGGAAGCAGACGGCCTGTGCAGTGCAGGAGCAGGGCGCACCAGTAGGTGGCGCTGCTTCACCAGCCCAGCAGGCCAGGGCTCCGCATGGCAGACGCTCCAGTTTCACCTGAAGGCCCAAGGCAGGCTCAGTGTTGGTGGCCTGTCCCCAGTCTGGGCAAGAACCTGAGGGAGCTTCCCCTTCCCACGTCCATGAAGAACTCCCAGCCCTTCCGACGGGGTCCGGTCTGCAAACCCAGGGATCTTTCTAAAATGCAGCTCCAGTTTTGTGACTGGCCTCTCTCAAAAGCTGCCTTGGCTCCCAGAGACTGAAGACCAAACACTTTAGGTCAGCAAACAAGGCCCTGCTTACCTTTCTACCCTCCCTTCC